AGAGAAAAGGGATGGGAGGTGTGGGGACAGTGTAGCATCTGCTAAAAGCCTAGGCTTTGAGTGAAACCCGGTTTTTAACCCTCACTCTCTGTGACTTTGGGCACACGTAAGTACCTCTCTGAGCCCTTTTCCCCATTTGTGAAATGAAAATCTAGCATTTTAACAGAGGCTTTGTGGATTCCAGGAGCCACCTGCATATTGTGCCATCCCCCAGGGCTTGGAGCATTCATGTTGACTCTGGAACCAAAATGTCCTGGCCTGAATCCAGGCGACTCTGCTGGTCGCCAGCTGTGTGACCATGAGCAAATGACAGCCTCTCTGAACGTCGTTTCTTGGTCCAGAAAACTGGGATAGTTGCCTTATTGTTTGGTGAATCATTTGGTATATGTCAAGTACTGAGAACCGTCACTGCTGTGGTGGGCCACAGTGTCACTGTCCGCTCCCCAGCAGCCGTTACATGCACCCCAGCTGTTTCGCAGATGAGTAACCCCTGATTTGGAATTGAGGTGGATAGTGAAGCCAGTAAGAAATGGAGGAGCTTGCTTCTGAGGGTGTGGGGACATTGGATACTGTGGCGTCTGAGGCTGGTCTCAGGAAGGGAGCCCCCGTGCCAGACAGGCCAGGGCCTGTTTGCTTTGGCCTCAGAAGGCCCTGGCAGGGAATGGGTTGGGTGGCTTCTCTGAGCCGTGAGGGGTCATCACTGGTCAGTGGACTCCCTCCCCAGACAGTGCATGCCAGGGTTTCAGTTCCTCTGTCTGGAGTGGGGTCAGGGGTGTCAGCTTGCCTCCCTTGCTTCCAGCACCCCCTGTCCCCACCAGTGAATCAGACTCCAGCCCCCTCCCTCCCCACCAGGGGCCAGAAGCCCACGCCCTTTTCCCAAGGGTAGTAACTGATTCTGAAGCCCTTCCAGGTGCTTGAATACTTCATGAACCTTTTCAAAAGCTCTGATCTTCCTGTTAGTCTTCACACACCTTCATCCTTTGCCTTCTTTGGAACCTGGAAAAATCTTGGAGTCCCAGCCCTCTGCCCCCACCCCTGCACCCAGAGACAGCCTCATCCCTGTTGCTTTAGTTCTTAGGGACAAAGTCCTCTGCAGCCACGCTGGCCAGGCCAAGCTGAGGTGAGTGACCACAGGACAACGTCCTCCTGGGAAGGGAAGCCTGTGATGTCCCCGGCGGCTGGGAAAGTCACAAGGAGGCTGTGTGACCCTGGGCCAGGCCCTTCCCCGTGCTGGGCTGGGCTCTGGCCAATGACCAGACTTGACTCCCTTGCGGTCTGTGCCCCCCCGCCGGCCACTGTGGGGAGGTCAGGTAGATGGAATAGGCCAAACGGGGCCACAGACACATCACGCATAGGAAAACAGAGGCCTCCCATTTCACTTGGGTTTTTTTCATGTATATTTTTTGTTGTTTTTTTTTTTTCTGTAAAATGTCCCAGTTCTTCCATAACTTATAAACATGATTTATATGCAGGGTGGGCGGGAAAGTGGGCAGGGCAGGCTAACTGGGGGTGGGAAGCTCCTCTGCTTGCTGCCCCCTTGGGGCTGGGCCCAGGGCCCTTTGGGGGATGGGAACACCCCAACACCTCCCTGAGGTTGTCTGGCTGCCTCTGCCCCATGGTGCTCAGAATCCCGTGTGCCCCTCGATTCCAGAATCCCTTCCTGGACCTCCAGGCCTGCGGGGCATGCTGCCCCTGGTACTCTGAACCCTGAAGCGCCCGTGGTTCCAGAATCCCCCCTTAGCTGCTGGGGTGATGGGTCCCCTCCTTTCCGCTGTCCCCCTGACCCCCGAGGAGGGAGGGAAGGGAGGGGGAGGGGAACTCAGGTCTCCCCTCCATGGCAGGGGGAGGGGGAGGTGGGATCTGAAGGAGAAAGGGCGTGGAAGGCGGGGGCCAGGAGGGGCTCAGCCAATGGTGAGGCCGAAGCCGCACTGGAACTTGTTCTTTCGGTGATTCAGGAAGGCCCCGAGGGCCAATGTCAGGGGCAGGGGTGGGAGCTTCTTCTCCAGCGTGGCACCCACGATCCAGTTGCTGTCCACGGAGCCTGCCGGCAGATAGCTGTGTAAGAGCCACGTGCTGGCTTCTTGCTCTGTCCCCAGGAGCTGCCCCAGACTGCTGTCCATGTGGTCCCCATCATCCCGAAGCCCCTCAATGCACCCCAAGAATTTCAGCTCTGAGCTTAGTGACACCCCACCTCTGGAGAGCCCCCCCAGCATCCACTCTAGTGCTGTTCACACCAGGTTGCTGCGGCTCTCTGGGGATGGGTCTGTCCCTCCCACTGTTAGCTCTCGGGGATGGGGGGGGGACAGGGCCTGGTGACTGCTGTGTCCCCAGCCCCCTCGACACAGGACTGGGTACACAAGGCTGAGTATCTGCTGAATGAAAGACTGAACTCTCCTCTAGGGCTTGTGTGCCAGAACCTGACAGGTGTGCAAGAACCTGGTGCCATTCCCGCACGGTGGGGAGGGAGGACTCACTGACCAGGAGTTGAGGAGAGCGAGCCACAACCCAAACCCAGCCTCTGACAGCGGGCTACTGCCTGCAGAGCGAGGGCTCGAGGGGCAAGCAGGGGAGGCAGGCTTCAGAGGCAAAAACAAAAAACCCCCAAACCCTTCACTGGGCCTCCTCGCTGCCTTGAGAAGCCCTGGCCCAGGCCGACTGAAGCTGCCTTACTGGGGCAATCTCCACACACCCCAAGCCTGAGAAGCACTGAGGTCCAAGAAGAAACGAGACTAGAGTCGGTGAGCCTGGGGGAAGGTTCTGGATCTAGCTGAGGCTGTGCAACCTCCCAAATGGGAGATACGGGGTGGGCTGGCTGTGCTCCAAGTTGCCTTCCACTCATGATAAAAAGAGAGAAGGGGCCCGGTGTGCAGACTGGGAGAGGGCCACTGGCGGGGTGAGGAGGGAGGGTGGTAGATACAAAGCTCGGGGCCCAGGCACCTACCCTCCCTGGGTAATTTGGGGGCCCGGCATGATGCCCTTTACCATCTCCCCTGGTCTAGACACCCCCTCAGAGCTGAGTCACCTGTTGTTTCCCAAGTAAGGAAATGGGGGCCTGTACCTTTGAAGAGGAGGTTGGCCTTGGGCAGGTCCAACTGGTACCCGAAGGAGACACTTGTGTCCTGCATCCTTGTGCTGGCTTCGAACTCCACACCCACCTGTAGCTGGAGAGGCCAGGACAACACGGGCGAGTCAGCCTCCTGGGTGGGTCTCAGGCACAGGAGCCCCCAGCACCCCGTGCCTGGCAAGCATACCCCGATAGCCAGTCCCCGGACTAGCTCACCTGGTCGCTGGCTTTGTGGTAGTACGTGGCGTGCATGCCCGCCTGACCCAACGTTACTGTTGCCACCCAGTTGTTCACTGTAAGAGAGCAAGGCGGGGGGTGGGGCAGGTTACCAAGGGGGCTTGGGCATCTGGGAACCTAGGTTCTCCCCCACCTCCCTCAGACCCAGGAGTCCAGGCCCCTAGCCCCCTCCTCCTTTGGACCCAGGTGACCAGGGCCCCCAGGCTCACATGTATATTTCCCAGCTAGTGACATAACAGTGCCCTCCTCCCCGGGCCGCCGGTGGTAGACCAGCTCTCCGCCCAGGGCCAGACATGGCGTGATGCTCTGGAGGTAGTGGGCCACGAGGATTCCTGCAGGGAAGACATTAAGTTAACACTTGGTTTGTTGGTTAGTTTCCGCCTTGTCACAGTGCCAGGCTAGACTCCTGCTCCAGGCAGCCTTCTAGGCTTGCCCCTGCCGGAGGCTCAGGGCTGCCTCAGGCCTCCCAAGCAGGCTCCTTGCTCAAGTGGTTCACAGGACTCTGAGGTCAGCCTCCCAGGCCCCATGGGACCTCAACTACTCTGCATTCATTTGCCTCCGTTTACGGAGGAGGCTACAGACGCTGAAAGATTAAGTCACTCCCACAAGGTCACAAAATGGGTCAGGGGCAGACTCCAGGCCTCTCCACCTCCCAAGCCCAGGCTCTGAACTGCTCTCCCGCCAGGAGAAGTAAGAGGGTACGGTTGGTAAGAGCACACCTCGGGGGGCCAGAAAGCCTGCGTTCAGATCCCAGCCCCACCACGTGCTGGTGGAGGTACCTCAGGCCTCTGGCATCACTCCTGGCAAGGACCACCTGGCAAGGTTGTGAGGAAGAGCTCAGGGCTGGAAGCAGGAGCAGTATCTACACAGCCAGCACCCAGCAATCACGAGGATGGGCCCTGCTGAGGTCTACTTCCTCTGTTCCTCGGCAGCCAGGGATGGCTCTGAGGCCCCCTGAGTGTATGCTAACAAATGACTTCATCACTGCGCTAATTCCTTGAGCCCGAGGACGGAGACTCACTCGTGTCTGTCTCTGAAGCCCCAGAGACTAGACACCACAGAGTGACCTCTGCAGAGGGGAAGAACCAGGGAGGAAGAGAGGGGGTATGCAGAGGGAGTGAGAGAGAAAAGGAAAACAAAAGACAACTCTGTAGTGACAGGAAAATGATCAGAAAGGGAGAGGGATGGAGGAATGCAGATTCCTAACCTGAAAAGATGGAGCAGGTGAGCTCAGTGGAGATAAGCTTGGAGATAAGCTTAGAGATAGACACTCAGTGAGAAGGAATACAGGGCAGAAAGGAAGGTGGGGACAGGCAGGGACAGGACAGGCCCAGAGTTGGGGGGTGGTACAAAGCCTGGGGGACAGGAGCACGAGGTGTCAACCTAGAGACAGGAAGCAGGAGATGTAAATATGCTTCCCAGAGATCAGAGGCACAGCCTGGGGACAGGCTGGAGGCAGCAGGACAGGGACGGGTAGACAGCATCAGGGGCCGCTCACATGTGCAGGCACACCTGGGAAGGGGCGGCCACCAGCGGAACTGAGGGAGGCTGAGGGTTCCCGGCCAGGGACCTGGTGGTGTCTTCTGGGGCAGCTGGGGTCAGGGTGGGCTGGAGCGGATCCCTAAGGGCTCGAGTGACTGTGTCCGTTTCTTCACCCCACAAGTAGATGATACAGATCTGCCTCCTAACTCCTACCCCTGGAGCTGCCTGTTAAACCATCACCAGCACACCTCTGGCCCGGAGCGCCCTCTCCTTTCAATAAAAGGGAACCCGAGACCCAGAGAGAGAAAACTGACTATCTCGAGTTCACACAGGGACTTCAACTCAAGAGTCTCTGGCCACTACTGGGACTGAGAGACCCCCAAACTTCTCTCCCACTCGCCCTCCATCTCCTGGGACTGCCTCGTCCTCTGCTCCCTGGATCCCACTCTCACCCTCTCCAAACAACCCTGCACGCAGCAGACAGAGGGATCTTGCTCAAGCACAGACCTGACCCCGCTCTCCCCCTGCTCAGGCTCCCCACTGCCAAGGAGACCCTGGCTCCTCACGGAACAGGTGCAAGGCCCCATATGGCTGGTCCCCAGCTTTGAGAGAGCCATCGTCTCATCCCATAACACAGCTGGCCACACTGCAGGAACACGTGGAGCTCTCTTCTGCTTTCAAGCCCATGCACACACCATCCCTTCGGCTGGGTGTACCCGTCCCTCTGCTTCGTCTGGGAAAGTAAATGCTTGCACTGAAGCCATTTCCTGGATTTGCCTGCTTTCTCCCCGTGGGATTGAAGCTGCCATCACCACAGGACCACTGCGGCCGCATAGTGTAGCCCTGGCCTCCTGCAGTCGGCCCGAGCCTCTCCTGGTTGCCCCGTGCCCTATGGAGTCGCTCTCTCTGCGCCCCAAGCACGTTCCCCGGGCCTCTGGCTCATGGTTGCTCTGCGCCGGGATGTTTTTCCTCCGAGGGCTTTACAGCTCGCTGCCCAGCACTTAGCTCCTCACAGACCTGAGCATTCCAGCCCTTCCTGCATCTGTCTCCTCAAGCTGCTCTGGTTTTCCCTCCTGCTTGCGTCCAGACCCAGCTCCCCCATGACCCGGGAGCTCCCCAAGGAAGGAGCTTTGTCAAGACCAGTGGTTCTCAACCAGGGGCCATTCTGCAACGTCTGGAGCAGCGAGGGAGAAACCACGGAGCTCAAGACCCCGCAAGAAGGACAGGAAGTGAGTCAGGGATCTGTGGGCAAAGAGGAGGCCGCGGGCAAGGGGCAGAGTGCAGCTGGCCTGGAAAAGGAGCCTGGTCTCCGGAAACCTACAGGGAAGGCAGGGGCTCTCTGGCTTTGGGTCCCAGCACCACCCAGCCCAGAACAGGCACAGGTGCGCGAGGTGCTCAGAATGAAGCAGAGGCTCCAGGGGAGGAACTGAGGCCATGGGAAGGAACTGAAGTGAAACGACGGGCTCCTCAGTGAGGCAGAGGCTGCGATTCAAATCTCAGCTCCTCTGCTTCCTAGCTGTGTCCGTTTCACCCCTGAGCCCTGCCCTCATCTGTGGGAACACTGAGCCCTGACCCGTGGTGGGAGTGCACCCTAACTAGGCATAGTTCGCCCCGTACTCGGGGCTGAAGCTGGGCTCTCCCACTGCTCCCTCAGGAAGATGTGCTCACTGCTACTGTGCCCGAGAGACAGACAAGGAAACTGAGGCTCAGAGGGGGCGGAGCCACCGACTACAGGTGGTCAGCACTGACCCGGGCCCAGTAGTTTTGATCAGTGTCTCGGGGGGACGAAGGGACACCTGTTAAGAACTGAGAGATGAGAGTGTCACCAGTGGCCTTGGGCTCCAGGGAAGAGGGAAGGAGAGGCCAGCGCTGGGAAGATGGAAGGACGACGCTGGTGAGTGTTCGCAGGGCGCGGGCCAGTGCTAGAGGAGCCGGAACTCTGGAGGTGGACTCGCTGATGTCCTTGGGGAAGCACCTGTCCCTGTGGGCCTCGATGAGTTGGGGGTGATGGCAGCACCAACCCCACAGGGCTGCTGAGGATTCTGTGAGCTTCTACAGGACCACTTGTTTCTTCATCACTCTACCCCTAGTGCCTCGAATGAGAGACAAAGTGCGCACGATAAGCTTTGGGCCTGATAAAGGGCAGGAGGTGGAAACCAGCTTGCGCTATAACCATCACTCAGCATTTTCTGAGCACCTACTCTGTTCCCAGCATGGTTCCAGGTGCTGCGCAGACAGTAGTGAGTAAGCAGACGACTCCCTGCCTGCAGAGAGCTGATGTCCTAGCGTGGGAGGCAGGTGAGGAAGAGCGAGACCACTTCAGAGGGAAGGGCTACCACGGAGACGCGAACATCACTTTAGCCAAGGAAGGTCTCTCAGCGAGGGTGGTGTGTGTCCTGAGAGGCGTTCATTCAGCCATGTCAAGATCAGAAAGAATTCCAAGCAGTGGGGATGGCAGATGAAAGAGAGGGGCCCGGGGAAGAAACAACACAGCGATTCCAGAAGAGCTCTTGTGGTCCAGCTGCAGTGAGCATGTGAGCAGGTGGAAGAGGAGGGTGGAGGGGACAGGACCCCCGCTCTGGGGCCCCTGGATGCAGCCCACCTAGGAGGCCTCTCATGCCAAGCCTCCCATCTCCCAGCCCGTCCCTCTCTCCTCACCTTCACGGCTCCTCTCCTCCCCTTCTTCTGGAAGCTCAAAGGTGACACCTCTGCAAAGGCTCCTGAGCCTCCAGAAGGCAGAAGTGAGGGCTCTCCCTGGGGACTCCCAGATATCCTGGCTTCCCACCTCACACATGCATTCACTCAGCGCTCACTGCCCAAGAGCCTAGGGCCCAGCCACAAGGTGGGAACCAACGCCACCCTTCCAGTGGTCCAAGCCAAAAAGAAGGGGACTGATCTCTTATTTCTGACCTCTCTCTTATCCCCAACACCCAATCCATCAGCAATCCCCACTGCTCCAGCTTCAAAGTACATCACTTCTCCCCGCCTCCACTGTCCCCAGGCTGGAACCCCTTGTGGTCCAGTCTCCATGTGTTGGCACAAGGGGTCCCATTAGAAGCTAAGTCAGACCCTGCTCCTCTCAAAATCCTCTGGTAACCCCAGACTCACTCAGAGTAAAACCAAAGTTTTACAAAGCCTTATGTGATTTGGCCTCATTGCCCTCCTTCCTCTTTCATTACAGCCCGGATCTTCCTTGACGTTCCAGTAAAGGGTTCTACCTCAGAGCCTTTGCACTTGCTGTTCCTTCCAGCTGAAAAGCTCTTTTCCCATGTATTTGCTTGACACCTTCCCTCACACCCCTCAGTCTTCGTGCAAACATTAGTTATGTAACGAAGCCTTTTCTGCAGACTCCACCCAGCGCTCCTGAGGCTGTAATCTTTTCACATCACTCCATCACTACGTCTTTTCTTTATATGCTGCTTTACTTGTGTCAGGAGAATGGAGGCTCCCAGAGGACGAACTTAATTTTCCTTTGTTCACCACCTTACCCTTGGGGTCTAGAATATACACAGTACGTGATCGCTAAACACTCACTAAATGAATGTAGAGAAATCAAAGGCAGACACCTAGAGATGAGGAAAAAAAAAGGGAACCAAAGCGGAGAAGTACAGACAGAAGAAGTCAGACGGTCCCTGCCCCCAGCTAACCCCATCAGCTTCCATCTCAGACTCACTTGCTTCCCCGCAACTGCGCGCAACTGCACGTAGACCCCGCCTGCCTTGGGATCTGCTCTCTGCCCCCAGGCAACCCCAGAGCCGCACAAGTAGTAACAAGAGCAGCTCATCTTGGGACCTGTCACATGCTTAACCCTATTTGAAGCTCTCCAGACATATGAACTTCCACGACCTACTCAACAAGTCTGTGAGGCAATCTGATTTTACAGATGAGGAAACAGGCCCACAGAAGTGATGAAAGTGCATATAATCGCAGTTGAGACAGCAGCACAGCTGGGGCTTCAATCGCTTTCTCACCCACAATGCTATGGGGCCCCATGTTCTCAAGACATTCCTGCCCTGGACCAGTTCTTGGATAGTAGAAAAGGAGGGCGGGAGAAAGAAATGGATTTGCTGGTTGAGCTGGGGCGGGGGTTGAACCACCCTCCAAGCCCTGGGCCTCTTACCTGAACCCACCAGGACGTCTGGGTTCCCCAGGGTGACGGCTGCCGTGAAGTCGGAACCCCGGTATTCCCCGTCTACCTGCCAGTTCACAAACTTCGACTGCTGGGTCTGTGAGGGAGAAGGGGATGCGTGAGGGTCCCTCCCAGATACAAAAGCCTTTCCTTATCCCCTTATTTTCTTTCTTTCTTTTTTTTCTAGTTGAAGTATAGTTGATTTACAATGTTGTGTTAACTCCTGATATACAGCAGTGATTCAGTTATATAGATATATGTCATGTCCAGTTTTCTTGTTTATGGGAGAGAGGCTTCAGCCTCCTAGACCCTCCCTAAGAGCAGGTTCAAAGATTTACTAGTCAAGTAAGGGAGGGAAGGCAGAAGCAAAGGAAAAGCAGTCAAACAACAGAGCTGGCAATAGGCAGGATCCTAGTTCCTCCTCAGGGGATCTACAGAACAATGCGTCTTTGAGTTAAGGCCCTACCCAGATGGATGTAACTTTAGGCTGGGCACCAGATTCCTGGCATAACACCCTGCGACCCCCCTCCAAACAACCAGAAGAAAGTCACACATCCTGCAGCCCTTCCTCACCAAATCTGCCTTTAAAAACTCTTCCCTGAAAACTGTCTTTAAAGTCTGAGCCACCCGTACTCTGCTCCAAACTCAGATGTTTTGGTTTGTTTGGCCTCACTGTGCATTGGGTATATGAACTTAGGTTCCTGGGTTCGACAAGGGCTTGGTGCTCAGGGTGACTAGGGGAGCAGCCAACACAACTCCCACTCACCTGAATGGCCATCTTCGATCTGAGGCCAGGGCCCAGCTGGTGAATGACCTGAGCGTTGAGGCTGCCACTATTGTCCATGTCACCCACCAGCACGGGGAATGCCTGTGGGGCAGAGAGCAGGATTAGAGATCAGAGACAGAGCACTAATGGAAGTACAGGCATGACGGGCCTCGGTGAGAATCCTAGATTTAGAAAGCCCCAGACTGAGCTCATCTCCTCCAGGAAGGCCTCCAAGACCACCTAGGCTGAGTTAGGCTCCTCTCTGGGTCCCCACAGCCTTTGGTTCCCCCATTTCAGTCCTGCCCACCCTGCACTGTTACTATCTGGTGACAGGTCTGTTCCCTTTCTCTGCTAGGCTATGAGCCTCATGGCTGTTTCAGTCACTGCTAGGTCCCCAGCACCGCTCAGCACAGGGCTGGGCACAGAATGGGGTAAAAGGAAAGTTTGTTGAATAAACTAATGTATTGAATGGAAATAGTTAATATAAGCAGAGATCTAATTTAGCCCAACTCCTCCTTGTCCTGCCTCAGCCTCCTTACAAGCCCCCAGGTTTGCCTTCTTCACTCCCCTAACCTAACATTTTTCAGGATGTCTGCGAGGCTATTTCCAAAGCATTCATCCCACCATGTCTTTCCCGCTTCAGATCTTCCTGTGGCTCTCTCGCGCCCCCTAGTGAAAGTTCAAATGTCTAACTTGGCCTTCAAAGCCCAGCATGATCTACAACCCAGCTCTGCCCCCTCTAGGTCATTACTCTCTGGTGACCCGGGTGTCCCCAGACTTGCCCAGCCCAAGGCTAGGCAGAGAGGTGGGGGTCAGGATGAAGGAATGACCCAGATTCCAATGCACCTTGGAGAGACACAGTCCCCACCTCCCAACACCCTCAGCAGCTCTGGCCTCCTACTGACAAAGTCTTCTTCGCTTGCCTGTTTGGCTACATTATTTGTTAGAAGAAAGATACAATGAATGAATGGCAAAAGGAACCTCACCTCTGTGGGACTCAGCTGCTTTGTCCCCACATACGTGACCCCGAAGTGGTAGTTGGACTCCCCGATTGTGCTGAGGGCTACTGTGTGGTTCACCTGGGAGAAGAGGGAGGGCTGTGGTGACGAGACTGTGCCCCCTCCCCCAGGAGCCCAGCTGAGCCCACTCCCAGGACAGCTCCCCTCCCACCTGGGATAGGGGATACTTGCCAATCTGGCTTCCCCATCAGGGCATCTCTGGGCTGGGCAGGGGATGAAGAGTGGGAGGTGTGGACTGACTAGATTAGAGACTCAGAGAAGAGATGTGCCAGGGCTGGGACTGCATACCTGGTACTTCATTCCTGCCTGGATGCTGGTAGTAGGGGAAGGGAGGATCTCTGGTTTCTGGATCTCTAAACACTACCACTGGCCCCCATTGAGTAGTCAGCCTGGCACTGTGTCTCTGAGTCTTTTCAAGTACCAAGGAGCCCAGACCTTTAGGGAGGAGGAGTAAGGGGGCTGTATATGCAGATACAGGGGAATGGCTGGGATGACCTCTGGAGGATAATGGCCTCAAGAAGGCTCACCTGGAAATGATTACTCAACCCTTTGTTGACTGTGAGCTTGACACCTTCCATCTGAATAGGAAACAGCTCTAAAGAAGAGAGAAATGCTATCACACTCCAACACACACACACACACACACACTATCTCTCATCCCTTCCTTCCCTATCATGCTGGCTCTCCCTTCTCCAGGGACGAACAAGCAGCACACTGCACAAAGTACCCCAACCAGCAAAGAGGCAGAATAGCCTAGTGGATGGGCCCAGGACCAAGGCCTTTGCCTGCATCCAAATCACAGTATTACCTCTGTGACCTTAAGTAAGTCACTTTATGTCTCTGTCAAACGTTATCATTTGTAAGATGAAAATACTCACTACATGGAAATATTGCAAGAATTTAATGAGTTAACACATACTGAATTCCAGAACAGTGCTCAATAAGTCTCCACCACTTTTGCTACCATAATTATTCCAAGCCAGGATCCTAAGCCTTGGGTTCCACCGCCACTGGCCCCTTGCTGACACTTTGCTGACACTGTGACCTTGGGCCTCAGTTTCCCTCTCAACCACATGAAGCTGGCTTGGCTGATTCCTGGGGATCCTGAGGTTCCTAAGGCTTTTCTCTAAGGCTCTGGCATTCCATCCCAAGGTTCCACCATTTGATCCCATCGCTCTAAGCCCCAAGTCTGACATTCCACCACGCGATCCCAACGTCAACTCCTAATGCTCTGTTAAGTGATTCCAATGGTCTATGCCAATTCTCAAGGTCCTCAACGTGCTCCCGCTTCCCCGAGATCTGGGCCATCGAACCCCTACCAGGCCCTAGCCCTCACCCTTGCACTTCCGGTGGCACTCCTCGAACGTGCCCGGATTGGGCAGGCAGCCGCAGGCCCCATCATCCACGGTCCCTCCAGAGCTGGCG